ACATGCAAACTCCACACAGAAATGCCAACTGAGTCGAGCCGAGGTTCGAACCAGCGACCTTCTTGTGAGGCGACAGCACTACCTACTGCGCCTCTGCGTCGCCTTTATTGTCATTAAAGGTAAAATGATTAAATAAATGCAAGCCATGGTCTCACTTTCTGTAAATGCTAACAGGACCTCAGTGGATCTTACATTGTTATCTTCGGAAGCGAGGTATAATTGGGTGTTATCAGCATAAAGGTTAAAAATGCATTTGCTGAAGCAACTGTGCAATCACAGCTTTCCTTTTTTCACACTTTGACTATGTTCAGCAAATCTGACGGGTTGAAATCAAACTCATAACAGATTTTTACAAAAGCAGTGATAGAAATAATGTTAGCATTCATTCATTCATTCATTTTCTTGTCTGCTTAGTCTCTTATTAATCCGGGTTCGCCACAGCGGAATGAACCACCAACTTATCCAACAAGATTTTACACAGCGGATGCCCTTCCAGCCACAACCCATCTCTGGGAAACATCCACACACACATTCACACAACGGACAATTTAACCTACCCAATTCACCTGTACCGCATGTGTTTGGACTGTGGGGGAAACCGGAGCACCCGGAGGAAACCCATGTGAACGCAGGGAAAACATGCAAACTCAACACATAAACGCCAACTGAGCCAGCCGAGGCTCAAATCAGAATCATATAATGTCTATTAAAAATGCAGATTCAAATTTATTACAGCATAGATTCATAAAACACACATCAATCTATTTAGTTTGAATTTTATTTATTTTTTTAGATTTATGTCAAATTAATTTAGATAAGGCTTACACAGCATTCATAATATGAGACCATGTTTTTGGCCAAGAACAGAAAAGACAGGCAGCTAACCTATATTGAAGTTTATCGATATTTGTTAAGCTAAACTCCATGACTTTTGCAAAACTTTGAGGGTTTTTCTAAAACTTTTCCAGGTTTTCCATGACCGTATGAGCCCTGTGTGAGGCTATTATTGTGTTATTTATTGAGGTTGATTTTATATCCACACATTCCTTCAGTAAAAACTTGTGACACGCTCCCTATATTGTTTACCAAGGTACTTTTGAATATTGGGCCTGACATCACGCAAGTATGATTTGAATTATTTTGTTTCCCTTTTTGTTTAAATCCCCTTAAGCCATTAAACTCAGCAAAGCTTAGAGATACAAAAAGTAAACACAATTTTAAAGCAACATTATCATCTAATAAAAATAAAGTTAGACCCAGCAAGATTTCGTTGGCGAGCAGTGTTGTAGCTCACGTGAATAAGAAAAAAAAGTTATCAATACTCACAAAATCCGATGAAACGGTTTGGTTTACAAACACAGTACCAGTTCAGGATGAGAACGAGATGAGATTAGCGAACTCCACACGTCTCTGACACCCAACAGCGCTCTAATGGAGTTGAATCCTCCGTTCAAAACACTGACGTCCCACACGCTCGTCTTCTTTTTCTTCTTCTTGTGAGTTTTATTGGTGGTTGGCTACAATTTTCTTGCCCTTCATACATTCCTCTCAATGGACGTGACATCAACGTCTGACTTGTTACATGACGTCTGCGTCTACCTTTTTTTTTTTAAAGTGTGGTTTATTCATAAACTAATTTCGAGAGGATCACGTGCTTATAATCAACACGGCTGGCTCCTTGTTAGCTCCGTAATCAGCCCTATTAGATGATTACGGAAGCATTATAAATACCCTGAGTTTTCCACTCCAGTTATCTTCGTCTTGAAGCTCCCCCCTTCCACCCCTACATCCTCCCACTTTTTCTGATCGGGCGACACGGTGGCCCAGTGGCTAGCACTGTTGCCTCACAGCAAGAACACCGCTAGTCCAACCCATCGGGCTGGTTGGTGTTTCTGTGTGGAGTTTGCATGTTCTCCCCGTGTTCGCATGGGTTTTCCCCGGGTTCCCCGGTTTCCTCCCACCGTCCAAAAACATAAACCATAGCAATCGACTAAAACAAATTATCACCCAATACAACCTGAGTTTCCACTTCTCACGGTGACCAGCAGGGCCTGACCTGACCTCGAATTCCCCTCTCGCCCTTCTAACGGGAGGGAGCCCCGGGCTCGAGGATATTACGAGCTCAGGGCTCTCTCCCGGGACAGCATGCCAAATACGCTTTATTGATTATCAGCTAAGTGTGAACTCTTGAAAATATATATATATGAGCAGTTTTTAGTGCGTCTGTCTGCTTTTTGCCGGCTAACTTATACAATATACAATAATTATGTGCAAATTAAATATAAATATGTTAATATATAAAGATATTTGTTTTCAAGATAGCATTAAAACGTATAAAAAATGTATAACAAAAATAACAAATGTCTCCGGAGGTAAAGTTTAGGTTGTTTATTAATATATTCATGTCGTTTAGTTTTGTAAAATCCTTTTTTAATTTGTTTTACATTTGAGTCTTATTGTGTTTTAATGTTTTACATGTTTAATGTAGCCTACGGCATATCAGTGATGACCAACTCATAGATCACTATCGCCTGTTAGATCTGATACTTTTGCTGTAAAATATTAGAAAAATAGAAAATTACATTAACCATTATTGTGTTGTTTTTAAAGCACCTTTCTTCTTTATTTTACGTTTAAAACATAATATTAGGATTCTTTAACAAATAAAAAAACATAACATATTTTATTTTTCATTTATTTTTCATTTGCTTTTTTGAAAGAAAATGTATATTTTTGTTCAGCAATATTGTTACATTGATAGTATTTATATTTTGAATAATAATTTGCCAGGATTCAATCAATCAATCCTGTAAAATATCATAGAAAAACATTCAACAGCACAACTTTGACAATACACTGAAGGATCATGCGACATAATAGTGTCAAAAAATTTAACTTTGCATCATATAAATAAATAAGTATATTAAAATAGAAAAGCGTTATTTTAAATTGTAATATTATTTCCTAATATTACCCAAACCCTGAACCATTCATAATAATAACAAAAACAGTGATTTTTAATCCTAAAACGTTGAATAGCCTAATGTTATTTGAAATAATTAAAAATAATTAAAATTGGCTTTAAATGTTACATCTAAACTAAAAACTAAAATCGCCAGTAGGTGGCAGAATGTCACTATTACAGTTTTTCCCAATTGTTTACACACAATAATTAAATAATTAAATACTTGTACTTCAGACACAATGACTACAACATGTAACTGATGCACCAACCCCCTGAACCAATGCAGCTAAACTACAAGCACAATTCCTGCTTTACACCCAAATTGCAGGTTTAAAACACACTTTTTTAAAACACTACACACAATTCTCTGCATTTTGCATGCAGAAAATCTCTTGTTTTCACAAGGAACACACTGTCATTCACAATTGTAAAGTCAGTTGTCCTTATTTGCATACTAACTCATCACATGAGTAAACACCTGTCACACAGAATTGCAATTTAGGAATCAGAGCTCAGAGTGGTTTATAACTGGTACACTGTCCACCCATGTTTTTTAGTTGTTTATCTCCTTCCATATTCTCCATTCCTTAATTATATTGAATATTTTTTTCCTGCTTAGGGATGGAAAGTGTATGCCGAAATCCACACTTTATTTTTCGTTTTTTACTAACAGTATTCTGTAAATCCTTCTGTTAATGGCAAATGAAGACCACATTATGTGCACCTTTGTGATGGTTGGGATGAACACTCTGTAAACTGAAAATACAGTAAAATATATTTGGTATTTGTGTGTTTTGTATAAAAACAATATTCTGAAGTATTTTACAATGCACTTCTGTAGGCCTATACTGTCTTTAGTAACTGTAAACGAAAAAGGCTGACAGTAAGTCATTATGATGAATGGAGAAGAAGTGGTCATAGTGTTTTACATTCAGCACATCAGTGTTCAACTGATCTTATAAATGTCTATTGATGTGATGGTTTGTGTGCGTCATTTGAAAACAAAATACCATGTTGAGAAGAAATTACATTGTGTTGATAGTGTTTCATTTTGCAGGAGAATTGAAGGGTTTCGCCCCTAGAGTTCTGACAATATGAGGCATAGTGGCATACTTTCAGAAAATGTGTGTAAACATTTGGGAAAACTGTAAATTGTGTGGATTTCAGTCATACACACTTTCCATCCCCAAGCAGAAAAAAAATCTTTAATAGGATTAAGGAAAGGAGAATATGGAAGGAGATAAACAACTAAAAACATGGGTGGGCAGTGAACCAGTTATGAACCAGATGAGCTCTGATTTCTAGATTGCAATTCTGTGTGACAGGTGTTTACTCATGTGATGAGTTAGTATACAAAGTAGGACAACTGACTTTATAATTGTGAATGACAGTGTGTTCCTTGTAAAAACAAGAGATTTTCTGCATGAAATTTGTGCCAAATGCAGAGAATTGTGTGTTGTGTTTTGAAAAAAAGTGTTTTAAACCTGCAGTTTGAGTGTAAAGCAGGAATTGTGCTTGTAGTTTAGCAGAATTGGTTCAGGGGGTTGTTGCATCAGTCACATGTTGTAGTCATTGTGTCTGAAGTACAAGTAATTGTGTGTAAAAAAAACTGTAAGTGAGTCAATGTTCATTTACAGTTTTTTTTTTTTTGATTGCTCAAGCACAATTTTGAAATGAAGGCTCATTTTGTCAAAACACTACACACAATTTCCACATCCACACACACAAACAGCAGAACACATCAGAACTTTTGCAAAATGAAACTTCATCCAAAACTTTACAACACTATAACAAAACACAATTTTAACACCGTACAGAACACACACGCCTCATTCAAGATAAATCTATTTGCTTCATTTACACACTGCTGATCTCAATCTTAAACACTCGTATAATTTCTAACTGACTAATACTGATATAATCTGGGTTTGATTTGTTTCAGAGATATTGCTATAAAGTACATGAACATACTGTATTCACCAAACAGTGATAGACTGAAAGCTAAATATTGCCCTATCCTAATAAAAACCATACAAAAATTGTAAAGTGTTTTATTCAGCTTTCTGGTGATGTGTACATTTCAATATATAAAAAATCCCATCCCCTGTCTCCTGTTTACCAATCTTCCTCCCTTCCGTACTTCCTCTTCCATACTGCAACATTGCCGTCCATATTTATTGAAGATTATTTATTTATAACTCCTGTTAAACATATTTATTGAAGACTAATATTTACATCTATACTACTGTTAACATATGTATTGTAGATAAATATAATAGCCTAGTTTATACCTAATACCCAGTTACAGTTTTTCATGATTGCTAACACACTAAAATTAAACTTTTCCTACAATTAGCAAAACCGTACAATCATGGAGCAAAACACAAGGCTAGATCTGCACAACTGTAGGCACATAGCTTCATACTGTTAGCAAAACATTACACACAGTCATTTGCAAATCACTAAACACACTTGGATGCTTTTGACACAGACATTTTTCATAATGGAATTTCCTTGCAATTTCAAAGCAAAGGCTTTCATATGAGCACACACATGAACTATAGGTCAAACACAGCCATCAGGTGTGCACACACACTGCTGCAAACTGTACACACACCAATCAGCTGTAACCACAATAAAAGAAGCAATATAGGAATAACCATATATGGCATACCAAAATGTTTAAATCATTTGTATAATTATTTACCATTTGAAATAAAAAACTATAAATAAGAAAGGTAAAAAGCACTTAATTGCAAATGAAACATAACTGTGGATAAGTGAAAACACTGATAGAGAATGAATAGGTATGATAAAGCAGAAATGAGAGCACTGTGCTGCAAACCCTTGAAGCAGACGCAGACGTGACGCAGACGTCACGTTAAAGCAGCGGAACAGTAATGTGGCAGACGCCGACGACACGTTCGGCACACGCAGACGTCACGTTCGGCAGACGAAGACGTCACGTTCGGCAGACGCAGACGTCACGTTCAGTGAGACGAGTGCACGTTGCAGCGTCAAGTTATTGACCCATTCCACACGCCATATGTGTGTGCGTGTGTGTGTGTTTGTGCGTGCGTGCGTGCGTGCGTGCGTGCGTGCGTGTGTGTGTGTGTGTGTTATTAAATGTGACACAGAGACACGGAAGAGTTTGAAAAAAGTCTAAATCCAGCGTGGAGTGTGTCGGTGAATGTGGTGTTGAATGTGTGTAAGTGTGTGAGTTTATCAGAGACGCTGTAGAAGGACAGAGAGCCGCTCGACTCGTCCACAAACACTCCTACTGTCCCACTAAAGGTTGGAGGAACTGAGATGTGTGTGCGTTCATCATTGTGACAGACAGAGAATGAGTGATCAGAGCAATGAAGACTCCAGGACTGATCATTACGCCCAAACTCACAGTCATCACTCCATCCTTTCCTCTTGATTCCTTTATAACACACTGATATTTCAGCATATCCGCTCCATTGAGTCTCCCAGTAACAGCGTCCAGTCAGACTCTCTTTACTCACAACCTGAAGATTCAATTTATCAAATCTTTCTGGATGACTAGGAAAAGACTGATCCTTAAACGCACGCGTCGCCTTTCTGTTCTCCTCCGATAGAACGAGGTGTTTGTGTGCTGTGTTTGGATCCAGTGTGAGTTTACAGGCGTCTGAACACAAGAACACACACATTACAACATTTACAAGATTTACAAGAACTAAACTACAAACTCTACAACTCTGTGTGTGTTTGTGACTTACATTTGTGTAGTGTTGATATAGTCCTGAATTCCCCTCCATGACCCAGACTAAAAAACAGACAACGCATGCACAAACACACACACACACACACACACACACACACACACACACACACACACACACACACACACACACACACACAAGAATTTTTCCTTCATTGTATTATTTGAAACTGACTATAACAGAGATGGCGAGTTTTATAATTCAAAAGCTTAGATTTTTTTCCTGTCCAGTTTGAGATTTTCTTTAAGATTGTCACTCTAAAATACACACTGTAATATGTCACTGTAAATGTCATGACACTCATGGATTTGTCATTTATGGATTAAAGTGAAAAAAAAATTCCTGTGAAAGAAAAATATTTTTTTTTCCAGGCCACATCACTTTAATCCAGCCATTTATTTATGGCTTTCCCATGGCATCCCAACCCAAATAAATGTAGAAGCTTACATGTACAGTAGAAACCAGAAGTTTATATACACTCTAAAAGGGAACATAACCATTTTTTTTAAATGTCTGATGGTAAATCATACTAAACATTTACTATTTTAGGTCTGTTAGGATTACCTAAATGATTAGGTAAATGATTTTGCTAAATGCCAGAACAATAAGATCATTTTTTTTGAGAATTTTAAAATAATTTCTAGACAGTCAAAAGTTTACACACATTTCCTTGGTATTACTTAGCTTTGCTTTTAAACTGTATAACTTTGGTCAAATGTTTTTATATCCTTCTACAAGCTTCTTACAATAGTCTGAAGGAGTTTTGGCCCATTCCTCCTGACAGAACTGGTGTAGCTGAGACAGATGTGTTGGCTGTCTTGCTCACACAAGCTTTTTCATCTCTGCCCACAAGTTTTCTATAGGATTGACTTCAGGGCTTTGTGATGGCCACTCCAAAACATTCACTCTGTTGTTTTTAAAGCACATTTGAACTAATTTGGCAGTATGCTTAAGGTCATGGTCTGTTTGGAAGACCCATTTGTGATCAAGTTTTAATTTCCTGGCTGATGTCTTGAGATGTTGCTTCAGTATTTCTCCATACTGTTCTTTCTTCATGATGCCATCTATGCTGTGAAGTGGACCAGTCCCTCCTGCAGCAAAACAGCCCCACAACATGATGCTGCCGCCCCCATACTTCACAGTTGGGATGGTGTTCCTTGGCTTGTAGGCTTTCCCCTTTGTCCTCCAAATGTAACACTGGTCATTATGGCCAAACAGTTCAATCTTAGCTCCATCAGACCACAGGACATGTCTCCAATATTTGTCTATTTCCCCGTGTAATTTAGCAAATTGTAATCTGGCTTTGTGTTAATTCTGGCTTGTTGATTTTCCCATGTTGTCACACAAGGAAGCAGTGTGTTTGAGCTTTTCCTTCAATACTATTCTACAGTTGTGCCTTCATTTAACTCAAATGTTGTCAGTTAGCCAATCAGAAACTTTAGAAACCTTGACATCATCATCTGAGCTTTTTCAGAGGCAGAATAATCTTATTGTATGTAAACTTGACTTTCAAGAAAACTTATAACAATTTCTCAAAAATCTCTCTCTTGTTATTCTGCTATTAAGCAGAACAGAAACACATGTAATAATCCTAACGTACCTAAAAGAGAAAAAGTTTAGTCACATCAACATCTTTTTTTTAAATGGTTATGTGCCTTTTTATACAGTGTATGTAAACCTGGTTTCAACTGTATAATAACTAAACTCAGATGAGCAAGCAACAAATGAAAACATAAGCAGTAACATTAATTTATTACGAATGCATCACAACAACAAATATGAGGGGAAACAACCTACATAAATTAATAATCTGTCCAAGTGCGGTTCTAGGATTTCATCCTCAGTGAACTCAACATTTTGTCGTTGTTGATAATGCTACATGTATAAATTTAACAGAATTTAACAGAACAGTAACGCTAAACAATAACAACAATAAAATCATTTTATTTATTTTTAAATCTCACTTTCAACCATAATTATGATCAATAACTCAACTTTACGCAAAAATTATTATATAATTAATAATAATTATTGCTTGCCACCACCTATTAGGCTAACATTGTAATTGCTACAACCTTCTTTAACAGTGTAAAATCGCTTTTAAACTGTGACTTTAATCTTTACCATAATTTTTAATATCTGAACCAAACTGTTATTCCAGTACTTCTGTGACAATTTGTAATTCAGAAATTATAATACTGGTTGAAGAGGCTAAAGGATGAAGCTCTCAGGGGTTACTGCTCTGAACTTAATGTTTAGATCATTTATGGATTAATAAACATATAGAAATTTAGCAAAATTAGATCATAACAAAATCAAAATTAGCTATACACTAAATGCAGCATTAATGCAGGCAAAAAAATGCCCTAAATCCTTGAGCACTTCAACACTGTTGTGACATCACTATCACATTGCATTCTTTGACATACTGTATAGGTGCTTAAGTAGACATATGAAGCTGACTCGTTCACTGTCAAAATCGATGGGTCAAGGTTTTGTCCATGTTAACTTCCCTTGTTCCCTTGACGAATTGGACCGCACTTCAAAATGGCATTGGGGATTCCCCCAAGGGACCAAGGGAAGACAAGTTCGTGAGTGCATGTTTAAACGTGAACTGAAACACAGCTCTAATCAAGCTAAAATGAAGACATTTATTACAAGGGGGAAATAAAATCTGCCACAGACTCACTGCAATTAACAGAAAAACTGTAGTGGTGGACACCACGCATATTCATGTAGAATAAGACAGAGCACATAAATATGGCAATAAATTAGGAAATACTAAAGTATAGCGTAACATATGATACAAAGACATTGACAGGTTATGATGCATTTGATAATGTCAAGACATCTCTAACAACTATAACTGAGCAAATGGCACTTACTGACAGTCATAAGAATGCATAAAACCTCATTGATATTGATGTGTCATGTCATGATTATAAAGTTTTAATGACAGCTTTATGATCACCCCCTTTTTCAAAAGTGTTAGCCAATATTGTGCACTGAAAACCACAGAGTGAACATATCTCCATAACTTACTTGAGTTTGTGGAGGTGTTTGAGTTTGTCAGAGAGCAGTTTGAGTCCTGCTTCTCCTGGGTGATTGTAGCTCAGATCCAGCTCTCTCAGGTGTGACGAGGTTGAGCTCAGAGCTGAAGCCAGAGCCGCACAACCTTCCTCTGTCACCATACAGTAAGACAGTCTACAACAACAGCAAGACGTTAGTGTTAGTTCATGTTAGTGTGCTTTATTTAATCATGTGACCCTGCTTGGATCACAAAATCAGTCATAAGTGTCTAATATTGGTTATTAAGATTTCTATGTTCTGTCTTATGGCTGAATTACACTTCTGCATCAACTGATCATTGTAAACCACGACACATGCTTTGCACATAGTCGTGCATTTATACTTCTGCATTCTGTTGCTCTGCAATAATTCTTCCAAAACGACAGCTGGCAGTGGGTTTTTATGTTCCTCTTTATCGAGTTTCTTCGCACTGGTTTTTACAGCTGCCTTACTGTACAAGTGGATCAAACTTGCTCAAAGGCAGGTTTGCCTTACATTTAAAGCATCCAAGAGATTTATCACTTGTTAAACATTCGCTCCAATGGGCTTGCTCCTCTCTCACAGCTCTGAGTTTCTGGCTCATCCTGGTTCCTATGCTACAAATTGGCTCCGGTCTCAGCCAGTCACTTCGCTCCAACTTCATATATAAGCTTTGATAGCAAAAACAGCAGCAATCCATCTTGGGACAGACAAACAAGTCCTGCACAGTGGCCAGAGGCATTTTGAGTCATTATTCTTGGACAATAGTGGCCAGGTCACTTTGTGATGCTGGTGGAAGTAAACATTTCCTGACTTGCTCCTCCAAAACACCCCAAAGTGGCTCAATAGTATTTGGTTCTGGTGACTGTGCAGGCCATGGGAGACTTCCCTTTCATGTTTGGTAGTCCTTGCCAGTGACCCAGCACGCATCTAGAACCAGTATTGGGTCTAGAAATGCCATGATATTGCAGCCCAAACCATTACTGATCAGTTTGGGGTCTGAGCTCCTCAAACCACAACTCTCCCGTAAGTTGGAAAGGCAGAGAAGGTGAACTCATCAGAGATGTTTCACATTGTCCACAGCCAAAAATTTTTACAGCTGGCACCATTGAAACCCACATTTGGCATTGGCATGAGTGACAGCAGCCAGGTTATGTATATTGACCCTGTGGAGCTCCAAAGCTTCAAAGCCTATAATTTGGATTGGCATCAAGACATCCCTTTCAGACAGCTTCCTTTTGCGTCCACAGTTACTACTGTTGGTTGTGCATTGTCCTTCTTGGTTGTTTGCTGAAAATACCCTGGATACTGGGGCTTCTGATGCATTGCGAATACTTGCTGTCTTAGGCTGCATTTACACTGCAGATCTTGATGGTCAATTCAGATTTTCTGACGGTATCAGATTTTTTTTTGATGACCTGCTTACATTATCTTTTAAAAGTGACTCTTGTCCGATTGTCTGCATTTACACAGCACACGGCAAAGGCAAAATGACCAGGAAAAAATGAGTGGGCGCTGACGGACAGCTAATAATAAAAAAGTGTTCTTTTCTCCATTCCTGTATTTAATCTGTTCATGGGGTTTAATTTTTTGACAAGTTGTTGTTTTACTATAGTGTATGACAGAAATGTTGTAATTTGTCCATCTTCTTTTAATCTAGGACTTTTTAAACCCTTAGGAATGTTAATGTAATGTCCATGGCGGGATTTATACATGTGATGTATGCAGTAACAGTTTTGGTTTATATTGGTCACATGGCGAATGTTACGCACTCGTGCTCTCTCTCTCTAACATGCATAAATACATGTGCTATATGACAATATAAAAGCTGTTTAAGTCCTCGTGTATAAGATTTAAAGTTTGGGACTCTGAAGTCTGTTCTGAAATAAAAGCGTCTAACTCAACGTCATTCGTTATGGTTTTTAATGACGCGCGACTTGCATTGAGAGGTGAAAATCTGATACACCTGCCCACATTGCAGACATAAGGGGACAGATCCGACTGATAGCGGATAAATTTCCACATATGAACAAGGCCTGAATCTGATTCAAGTAAATCGGAATCCATGTGATTTGTTCCTGCTTACACATACATGGGTTTTATCCGATCTGTGCCACATGAGAGAAAGAAATCGGAATTGAGTCACTAGTGTAAATGTGGCCTTAGTCACAGATGTGCCAGCGAGACACACACACAAAAAATTTGCCCTCTTTTGAACTCTGATGTCACCCATAATGTTGTGTACATTGTGATATTTTAAGTAAAACAGTGCTATTACTAACTTCACACTCTGCTCTTACTGGTGGAATTTTTTGCATTTTTAACAAGCAGCCCTACAACACTGAACAAGATGATACATGAGTGTCAGGTCACAAAACCTTGAACAAACGGAATCCTGACATACCTTGTATATAGTATACTTTGTTTTCAGTTAAATTTTTTCCCCTATGCTATATTGTAATGAAATCAGAATCAATGGTGTCAGTGCAAAGCAAACCTTCATGTGAAATAATAAAATTTCTTTAAAACATTTAAAAAAATTACATTAAGAGACAAGCAAATCAGAACACATTTTGTTCAAAAGGATTTCCATTATTTCCATTACGCATTGTAACATGTATGATGGGGATACAATGCCTTTCATAAAGGACTTAAAAACAGTAACCAATGCTTAAAGAGAACATGATTTCTAAAAAAATACAAACATTTATGTAACGATAGCATGTTGCTCACATAGTATAGTGGCAAAAACTGAATACAATGTAATAAAATCAAAAGCTGTTAATATAAAAATATAAAAATCACAAATTTCAGAGCATATCAAAAATTATCCAGGGCAACAAAACCCTGTGAAAAAAACAGATATAAACAATAAAGTAGCCATTAATAAGGCACATGAAATACCTCAGTGTGTTGAGTTGACAGTTTGGGCTCTTCAATCCAGCACAGATCAGCTTCACTCCTGAATCCTGCAGCTCATTGTTACTCAGGTCCAGCTCTCTCAGGACACAGTTTGATGATTGTAGAGATGAAGCCAAAGTTTCACAGCACTGATCAGTGAGGTTACAACTTGACAATCTAAACCGAAAATTGAAAAAATAATTAAATATGAACTATTTAGACAATATTTGAGAGAACAGGATGTTGTAAATACACAATAAAAAAAAGCACAAATGTAAGGGTATGTAAAAGCATGTCCAGGGCCACAAAACCCCCTTAGACCACAGAGGGTTAATAGTCACATTATCATCCTATTTTCCATATTACATTATTTAGTAAAAAAAAAAACTTTCATGTACCAGAGTAACCAATTTAAGGTAGAAGAAACATGTCAAACCTCAGGATGTTGAGTTGACAGTTCTCACTCTTTATTGCAGTAAAAATCAGCTTCACTCCTGAATCCTGCAGACGATTGTTGCTTATGTCCAGCTCTCTCAAGACAGAGTTTGATGATTGTAGAAATGAAGATATAGTTTCGCAGCACTGATCAGTGAGGTTACATTTTGCCAGTCTAAAAAGATAAACGAGAAAGAATTTATTGCAAACTTAATGTGTAGACAGTAGGGATGGGAAGATTAACCGATATGTATCGATACGCGGTCATGCGCGTGCACGATGCGAGTGCATCGGTAGAGCAGCAGAGGATGAATGAAATTTTGGAAGCAAATCGAGATGCATCGGTTTTTCCAAGATACTTATATATTATTATATTATATTTTTAATATAGAATGTATTTTTTTTATTTATTAACAAGTGTTGTCAACCTGTTTTTGGCGCATAATTTAATTGACCTACATAAAGTATGCATTAGCAACGGACTTGCGGATGTGTACACTTACACTACAACTCAGTGTATCAGGTGTGCGGATGAAGCTAGTGGTGCGCCCTCAGAAAGCGCGAGAAGCAAAACAAACATTTTATTCCTCACTGAGTTTTAAATCTAAAGTATGGCAACATCATGGATTTAAGGATGGACGACTTGACAGGACAGATGGAATTTGCAAAATGTGCCGCGCATCTGTAAAATACACGGGCAGTACGACTAACCTGATATCTCACTTGAAGCGGCGCCTCGGTGTTGTTGTGGAAGCATCTTCCAGTGTTCCTGCATCCCCGGCTTTCGCACTGCTTCAACTGTAGCTACCAGCTCCAAAAGTGGTGAGAAAAGCATTGAAAGTTGTTTCCATGCGCAACAGTTTTGTGCGCTCTACGGCAATAACGAATGCTATTGCATTGTTCATCTGGTGCAAGAGTCAGAGAGACGAGAGGGTGTCTTTTCTACAGTTGGTTTGTTAAGCCCACTCACCTGTATAGCACATACTCAGGAATTCATTGGGAGATTTCAGAGGGGGGTAAATTGACTGGAGTTGAGGGCTCTAACAGCCTGTGGGAAGAAACTGCTGAGAAGTCTAGCCAAGCAGGCTCTAATACTTCTAATTTCGCCCTGATGGCAGTAGCTGAAAGAGACTGTGGAAGGGATGAGTAGAGTCTTTTACATACTGCTAGCTTTGCTGGAACACCATGAGAGGAAAATGTCCTGAATGGAGGGTAGATGGGCACCGATGATCTTTTCAGCTGTGTTCACTGTGCGCTGCAGGGTCTTGCGGTCAGCAGCACTGCAGCTCCCATACCAGACAGTGATGCAGATGGTCAGCACACTCAATGGTTCCTCTGTAGAATGTGGTATGGAGAGGGGGGGGGGAGGTAGATTTGCCCTTTTCAGCCGTCCAAGAAAATGTAGGCATTGTTTGCCTTCTTGGAGAGTGACATGGTTTTGGTAGTCCAGGAGAGACCCCGTGATAAACCCTCAGGAATTTAGTGCTGCTGACTCTCTCAACAGTCGAACTGTTGATGGTCAGTGGGGTGGTCAAAGGAGTTTCCCCTGAAGTCTATCACAACCTCCTTTGTCTTCTCTACATAAAGGGAAAGGTTGTTAGTGGCACACCATTCAGCCAACTGTGCCACTTCCCCTCTGTAGTACATTTCATAATTGTTGCTGATGAGACCTACCACTATTGTGTCATCGGCGATTTTGATGATGTGGTTGGAGCTGAACTTTGCAGTGCAGTCATGGGTCAGCAGAATGCAGAGCAGTGGGCTGAGCACACTGCCTTGTGGTGCACCTGTGCTCAATGCGGTAGTGCTCGAGTTGTTGTAGCCGACACAGACTGACTGAGATCTTCCAGTTCAAAAGTCTAGGATCCAACTGCAGAGGGAGGTGTTAAGACCTAGCACATTGAGTTTATTAATGAGCTGTTGTGGGATTATCATGTTGAATGCTGAGCTGAAGTTGATGAACAGAATTCTAACATAAGAGTTTTTATGATTGTTGTTGTATGTTTGTAGTTGACTTTAGACATGTGGGGACAACCTGACTCAATGAGGTGTTAAAAATATCTGTTCAGACATCTGTGAGCTTTGCAGCACAGTCCTTCAGAATACGACCAGTTATGTTGTCAAGACTGGCAGCCTTGCATGGGTTGATCCTAGATAAGCTCTTCCTCACATCAGCTGGACACAGACAGAGCACCTGGTCATTGGGACTTAAGGGTAGTTTTTTTGCAGGTGTCATTCTGCATTTCTAATCATGAATAAAAGTGGTTGAGTGCATCTGAGAGGGCTGCATCATTATTACTGGTCTGTGGTAAGGTCTTGCATTCTGTGATGGACTAAATGGCTTGCCGCAGGCTCCACGTGTCTTGGTCGTCTGTGAAGTGATTATTGATTTTTTCGGGGCATATGACCGTTTTTTGCATTCCTGATGCCATGGGATAGGTCAGCTTTGGCTGTTTTGAGGGCTGCTTTGTCTCCTGATCTGGAGGCTTAATCTCTGGTCTAAAACAGCCCACGAGGCTCTGCTGTCATCCACGGCTTCTGGTTTGCACGTGCGGTGATGGTTTTGGTTTCTGTAACATCATCAATGCACTTTTTGATATAGACTTTGACGTTTTCAGTATATTCATTTATGTTTGTGTAATTGTTTTAGGTGGCTTTTTCCGACCAGATTGTGATAAGTTTTTGAACTGGTTTGGTGAGTTTTAGAAGTGGCTGGTGTGCTGGGATTAGCTTAGCAGAGATGTGGTCCGAGTATCCGAGGTGGGCTCTCCTTTATTCGCATTCTTGTTTTTTGTGGGTAAACAAAGTCCAATGTGTTGCTTCCCCCACCAGATCCTCCCAAATCCCACGAATAACCAGAGCTGCCACCTGGATCCCACGAATGGCCAGAGCAGCCCCCTAAGGCCTTGTTTACACTAATACACTTTCGTTTTAAAATGCAATTGTTTTGCTACGGTTACGCCATCCATCCACACTACGCTGGAGTTCTCGAGCGCCGAAAACGGATCGTTTTGAAAACGCTGGAGAGGCCATTTTCATTCTAAAACGCTGGTGCTCCGTCTCAGTGTGGATGGGAAAAAACGGAGACATCTGAAAACGGAGGCGGGGCAGCAGACATTCGCCTCTCTGATAGGGGCTTTTCCCTCAATATTAAGTAGCCTAGACACAGTTCAGTCCTGCATCTTCTCCTTGTAAGTTCAGACTTTGCAAGTTTGATATGGAAAACAAACTCCCAAGGACACGTCGAGTAATTCTTCAAAGGAAAGAGTGTACTTTGTAACCTTATTCACAGCACCCTGGCTATGTTGTTTCACATTTTTAACAATAAAATGAAAACATGATATGAGGAACTGCCTATTTTGATTTTGATATTAACTTAACAGACACAAAATGTTGAGGCATCGTGTAGCTGCATATTTATATGAGCGTTATCCTCACTGTATTCATATTTATAACAAAACGGAGCCTATAACATCACTGCCTCCTTTTATTTTCATTGAAAATACGAGACCTCCCCTTTCTTTTGCTGAATATCAGTTTAATAATCAATAATTGCAATTACAAAAGTAAAACGCACAATAAGTTTTTACCTTATAGGAAATAAAGGCAAGCAGTCAGTCAATATACAGAATGTACGTGGTTAGAACAATTATTTACTTATCTTTGCGCTCAGCCAAAACACGTAACCTGACAACAAGTAATCGGTTCAAAAGACCAAAGTCAGAGAATATGTCATTAAGATAGAGACAACAAGATGAATTAAATATCACGTTTAGAAAATATAGTGAGATTAGATCCAGCGGTAGATCCTTGATGAGCAGTCCAAAGAGCACTGGGTGAAACGCTAGTGTGGACATGGATTATTTTCATTCAATCAGTTTTAAAACTGAACTGTATTAGTGTAAACAAAAATATTAGTGATATTTTCAATACATTTGTGGAAATGAAAAACTAGTATCACAGAGTATTCATCATGCAACATTTGGTGAAAGATAGTTACAAACTCATAAAGATATTCTCCACGTAAAATAATACAAGCAGTCTGTTAATGATTTACCCTGAGTCAGTGTTGGGCAGGAGTTTCATTATAAGTAGTGAGGCTACTAGATTAACTAGATCTCTTAGCAGCAAAGAGGTAGCGTAGCTACTTTCTAAATCAAATAGCTTTTCAGTAGTCATGCTATTGTTTTAATCAAGTAGCAAAGTAGCGTCCACACAAATGGCATTTACTAATTGTGGATCATTAAGTGATGCCACGGTCATTCATGGAGCTGTCAGGCCGCTGTCTAGCCGGTGAAAGTAAATGCATATGATTGTAAAATTAGCTTTGTTTGGAACAGCATATTAAGTGCAGTAAATAACTTAACTTAATAATTATGCCTCAAATGTTTAATTAATTCAGTTTTATTGATCACTAAGATATGATTGACTTGAATTAAAGTTGCTTCGATTTAAAAATGAAAAAAAAAAAGCCTTAATGTAGCAAAGCTTCTTTTGCCATGAAGCTTTTAGCTTAGATTTCTACACTTCCCAGGGGGTAGATTTTGGTGTAGTTAAGCTACGTTTTAGGTATAGTAACTAATAGCTTAGCCCACTACATTTTCAAAGTAGCTTGCCCAAAACTGCCCTGAGTATAATGGTATGGGGCATGGCCTGCCCTCCATGGCAACAGCTCATTGGAAGACAGTGCCATGGGGTGGATCAAACCACATCACTTAAAAACTTACTGCAATGGTAAATCTTTGCTTTTTTGCATTAGCGCGCTCGTGCTTGCTGCTGCTTTCTGCCCCCTTAGGCCTTGCTCACAGACTCTGCACCGCTATGCGACTGGGTCACCAACACCTCTTAAAGTTTTGCCACCTTCCAAACCACAAGAAAAACTTCTGCAAACAGATTCTCAGCAGACTCTTGGCGCACTCACACTATGCTGTCCAAATCCTGCCCAGGTGCGTTTCCCAACTCGTTTGAGAAGTGTGAGTGCTCTGAATCAAGCTTGGGCATGGTTGAGTTGGCCAGAGTGCGGTTCACTTGAGCTTTCGCATAGTAGGCTTGTAGTGCGAGTGCAAAGCGCACCTGAGCCCAAAACTTAAGACGCGACGTGACTTTTAATGGACTGTTTCATAAGGATTTGTTAATCATTCTTAATTTTCAATAAACACAAACTGTCGTAGTTTATTAAAGACACAGACCCCTCACTGCACATCAGCTGCCCCTTAAAGAAATCTCCTATTACCTGCAGCACGAGGACTTTTATAATAATTTATAAAAAAAGTCGAAAGTGGTGAATCTGTTTAGCAAAATGTTTGACTGTGTGTCACTACATCTCAAACGACTAAAAATAATACAAAACGATATAACTAAAGCAATGTTCACTGTGCTGAGCGAGAGCACTTCTCTTATTGTTAAACTGAACAGTTACATCATTGATGATGAAAGCGTGCTCAGGTCTGGTAGGTAAAAAAATGCAATGTGAGTGCAGGCCGAGGGGGAGAGGGGATGGGGGACAATCGAGCTTTGGCATGGTTCAAGGCAAATGCACCTAATATGAGTGCACCCTCAGTCACCCCGGTAATCCAGGACTACCTCCACTCACGAGTAAGTGAATCCCAAGGATGTCATTGAAACTGAGTCACAACCATACAGGAGCACCATGTTTCCCTGAGTCCAGCTAGCAAAAGAAATTTAAGTCTTCCAGCAAAAGCTTAAGCTAAGCATTGTATGTTTGTGAATGAGTGTGTATGGATGTTTCCAAGTGATGGGTTGCAGCTGGAAGGGCATCCGCTACATAAAACATTAAAAAAAAAAAAAAATATATATATATATATATATATATATATATATATAAATATAAATATATATTTATATTTTTATATTTATATATAAATATATATATATATATATATATATATATATATATATATATATATATATATATATATATATATATATATATATTAGGGCTGTAACAATACACGATATAAAATCGAAATTGCGACACTCAGATCTACAATCCTGTTTCGCGGTGTGATAAGGGAGAATCGCGACACACCCCGTGACTACCTTTCCAATAACGCCACGCGTGCCTGCAAAAGTTGAGCTAATTAACACTTTTTTTCGTTCGACATTACAAGCACTGCTCCGTTTAAGCCCTCGCAATATTTAGCCGGGAGAGCTCGCACGGAGCTCTTAGTAGGGGACCGTCTGAATGTGTCAAGAATATCAAAAACAAAACCAACTTAACCCCGCTTGACAACCGACAACGCCAGAAACATTGCCAATGCTGTCAAAGCGGCCGGATTTTCAGCGCATATACGATGATTTGCTCACACTGTTAATGTGGCTGCGCAGAGAGGGATGGGCGTTCACCAGATTTCAGTTAACAGCAAACTTTTCTGTAACCGTGCTGTGCGCTTTCTGTTTGAACCTTTGAGAGTGCTGACTGACAGGTGCGTGAGGTCAGAAAACAGGACGAAGCTTTCAGTTAAGATGAACACAGTTTTTATAGTTATACTTTATTTAGAGATAAAGGTATATGACTCTGCATACAATCACTCTATCTTGCTGGAGTTTATAGCCGTTTCGCTTTACTTCAGGACGCATTAACACCGCTCTGATGGTCTAATTGTTGTTTTAAGTTACCAAGAGCTGTATGAATATACAAATCTTGAATATCACAATAGTATTAAATATTACAATTGTTGTTACAGACAGCAACACTTTTGCACAATTGATACCCAGCTGATTCAGTCGTTTATAAGAGGACCGCGCCTCTTCTTTTTTTCTTGTCAACATAAAGGCAGTGAGGTGCGCCTCGTTTTCGGCCACTTGTTTAACTGCAAGGCATACTTAATTTGCGGGACGATAACGTATAACCCGTGCCTACAGACACATTTGCCAAAGAAGCAAAATGGAAGAAGAATATTGCTGTTTGATACAGACCTGTTGATACTAAACCAGCGCTGATGTTGACCTGGATCTGCGTAATAAACGCAACAAATAGGCTTTACTTTTTATTTTACAGCTTAAAGCATGTACGCAGATTAATGCAATATCATATTTAAACAACAAAACTGTTTACAAAAAGTCTACATATGCACCCGTTGTTGTTGTCTTTTCATCACGCAGCGCACGCACTTGAACCGCGAGGGAGAGAGAGGAAACCATAGGCTATATCAGGACATATTCTTTAAAATAATGATTTCTATTAAAAATGTAAAAGGTTTTGTGATTATAATAATAACAGCGGGGCATTAAATAAATGCATATTTTCTGTGGAGCGGGCAATTTGAGGAAGTTAGCTATTTTTATTTGACGGAAGATAAAACATATGATTGGAAAAAAAAAGCCCATGCCGGTTATTTAAAAGAATCAGTCAGTATTTTCCTTTTGTAATATAAATTAATTATTTAAGTGAAAATAATTTAGGGCAGTCCTATTTATTTTATTCATTTTTTTTAGATTATTCTGCTCTTCTGTGCTAAACACTGCAGGTGCGTGAAGATGCTCTGTTGTTCTGTTCCGCTATTAATATATAAAAATAAATCAGTATTTTAAAATGCAATATTTAATGTGTCAGACACAAAATAGACACGTCAATTTGTTTAATATAAAATTAATAGTAATCTGACCAGTTAACCGTTAATAACCGAGCGGCGGTTGTCGGTTAGCAAAATTAACGAAATGAGCATCCCTAGTAGCTATTTAATTAACTTTTTCTATGTAAGAGAACTTGATTGAAAAATAATTTTCAACATGCTTGAACCATCTACACAATGGAGTTTAGTTCTGTTTGGTTTTTCAACAGAATTTTGTTACAAAAGAAAACAGAAGTTATATAGCTTTGGCTATTACTTTATTTTATATATGGCTATTTATATTGTTAATAATTTGCATAGTTAATATTGTTCTTTGATGTTTAGTTTATAAAGATTTTTCAAATGTTATTTAATAAAAAATTGTTTTAAAAAATTTTTTTTCCCACCCCACACGAAAAAAAAAAATCGTGATACGAACCGAATCGTGGGTCAAAAATCGTGATACGAACCGAATCGTGGGTCAAAAATCGTGATACGAACCGAATCGTGGGTTTGGAGTATCGTTACAGCCCTAATATATATATATATATATATATATATATATATATATATATATATATATATATATATATATATTAGGGATGTAACGATATTGTAAATACCGTCATACCGCAATATTAATTTTTTTCGATATTATCGAAGTCGCATGACTCGGTAAAACTATAGGTCTTCTGAGAAAATTTGCTCAGGCGAATGAAGCGAACGGGACGTAGCTAAAACTACATTTCCCATCAGCCCAGGCGTGGCCATAATCCTTTGCGGTCTGTTGTCGCTACAGATCCAGTAATGCGGAAATGGAGTGTGCTGCTAGTAGCGGAGATGAAAAAAAGATGGAAATGATCGAACCTAAAGCGGGTGTTGTCGCCGCGCGCGTGCTGAATAGCGGTGCTGTCGCGCGCGTTCTGTTCAGCTGTGTTGTGGCGCGCGTATTGTAAAGCGCCGAGGGGGGGTTGAGCGCGCATATTCAAGAGAGGTGTTGTCGCGCGCCTACTGAAGGGCTGGATTGGACGGAGGTTGTGTCGCGTCGCGGGGGCACTTTTGATCGTTTTGGAAGGGCATTTTCTATCCAAGACTAAAAAGGGCATGTGCACTGCACAGGTTGAGCCCTATGTGTGCACGTGCCTGCAAGTTGGGGAATACGACTAATAACAGTCATGGGGACTGCAGAAACACAGCACACTGTTCAGATTGATGCAGACATTGACTTGTACCGCAAAGAGATCTCTATCTCACTCATGGTTTGTCTTCTCAAGTGGGGGAAAGACAATGCACAACGTCACTGCTGTCAACATGGGCCAAGTCATATCTCTCTTGTCCCAGAAACCTCAGTCCCAAATGAGAGGGTTTTTTTTTCTGTTGCAGGGGACATTGTAAATACCCAGAGATACCAGCTTTTACCAGATTATAATTATATGATAATTTTCCTTTAAACCCATCTCTATCTAAGTGAGTGAGTGATTAAATGTTGAATGTGATGAGTTTTCAACAATACTAAATTGAAACTTTATTTTTTTACATGGTTTAATAATTTTTTGTTATTAAAATTGAAGTTAGTGTTTCAAAGCTTACAGATAGATGGCTAATTTGTATGTCAATGACACTTTTGGCACTTTTTTGGAGTATTTTCAAAAGTTTTTTTTTTTCCTGTAAATGATTCAATAAATACCGTACCGTGACATTCATACCGAGGTATTACCGAACCGTGAAATTCTGATACCGTTACATCCCTAATATATATATATATATATATAATTTTATATATATCACTATCATTATAATTTAATTATATGTATTCAGATGGCGCTCTGTGGCATGGCAGAAGTATGAACAGTCATGAGTCGTGGCTGGCCGCTGGACGCCGCAGACAGCCGCTGACTTGCGAATTCTAAATGCATGGCACTGCGCGTCCCCGAGCGGCGCTTCCGATGCGTGACTTGCTTGTGACTTTGCGTGACTTTGCTCAAGTCAAGTTCTTGTTGCAGAACCGAAATTATGCACCGAAGTTCATATGCTGATTTGATCCGGTGCATACAGGTTCCAAAAGTACTGATGCCATAGTGGCACCGAGTTTCGGTACCCAACCCTATTTATAAGTCAATGTTTCAAGCTGTAGATTTTGTTACCTAGCTCAAGTGTAATTAATTATTGTTATGTTATTACCATTAACCACGAAAGTATTATAAATGAGATTGGGAAAAATACAATGTCTACTATTTTCTGGACAAATGGTCAAAGTGTAAACTTTAATTTGATTCTGTCTGACTCAAGTAAGTCAAATCAGGTGTTTCGAATATTCTGATTTGATTGCTCGAAAAGAGATAAGAAAAGCCCTGATTTATCTTTTAAAGTATGTTAATTCCCTACAATACCTACTTCATCTGCAGTAAAGACAACAACACACATTTATACAATTTCAGCGCTCCATTTAAAATCCCATTTTCTTAGTTCAATTGAAAATCCCATAGATTGGTAACTTTTTTTTAGGATGTCAGATGTCTTGTCTTGAATGCAGACAACTGAAAACAGCCATAGTCATTATCTAACCATATCTGTAGTAACTATACAGCTAACTGGGTGAATGGGCTATATGCACGCATTACTTCCGCGTTTTGTCTAAGGCCGCGGTCCAGCTTCCGGTCTGGGTGATTTTAAGCGGAGGTAAACAGTATTATGGCAGAGTCGTCAATATTTACTCGCTGTTTGCGAGTAAATTATGGTCAACGATGTGCAAATGATTGTCCGGATGTGCTCTACAACACCGCAGAGCAAAGCTTGAGAAGGGTTTCAAGTTGTATGCATCTTCCTACCTGTGCAATTATGAAGGTAAGTTCAGCTAGCCTGAAGGCTAACTTTAGCGTTAATACTCTTACGATCCGTCCATCTGCAGCTTTATCACGTAAGTAAAAATAATCATATGTGTATGTAATTCTGTCTCAAAGTGTCAGGTAAAAACAGGGCAGGAATAAGATCTCAGTGAGAGCTCATTACTACCGATAGATCTATGAAGAAATCGGAGTCTCCTCACCAGCTGAGAGTAGGACAGCATACATGTGAAATTCTGTCCCATTCATACTTTTACTGTTCTAAAGTGACCACCACTGTTCAGTTCGGATAATTACAGAAACACAGATGCTGTCTTAGCTTGTAAGCATGATTATTGAGCAAGATATATTAGGAATAAAATAATACAATGCCGTTCCATCCACAACAGACAAATAGCACTGTCAATGCTGATATTTATTGCTGAAACAGTGGAGATAGCATGCTTTCTATTTAGTCGATAACATTGTAATTAAATGGGAGGGTGACCCAAAACAATAAGGTGTCATTAGTTAATTTCACATCAACAATTTGTCTATTTCAATATTTATTAGTTTTTTACATTAATGAACAAATGCTTATTCATTGTGCTTGTTAACTCACAATGTAATAGCTAATGTTAACAAGCATGACTTTGGATTTTTATTCATTAGTAAATTAGTTTAACAATGCTAACTATTAAATATTAAATAGTTATTTTAATAGTGAGCAAATACATTAATTAATGAAACCTTATTTTAAAGTGTGACTAAAGGGAGCTACTTTTAAATCATTTAAATTAATTATTTACTGTGTAGTTTAATCTGATGATATTGCTGCAGATGCCTTTAAAAAGAAGATATTTTGAAGAAAGCTGAAAACCTGTAACCATTGACTACCATAGTAGGAAAAATAACTACTATGAATATCAGTGGTTGCAAGTTTCCAGCTTTCTTCAAAGTATTTTTGTTTGTGTTAAACATCAGAAAGAAACTCAAACAGGTTTGGAACAAGTGAAGGATGAGGAAATAGAATTTTCAGTTTTGAGTGAACTGCCTTTAATGACTCTCTTTAAAAACCTATTAATATTCTTGTTTCTGTTTTCTAGGTAACATTATGAGATTCAGAGCTAGAAAATTTTATGTGTTACTTCATCCTGGAGCGGACATCCGTCAGAAGATCCATGCCATCGTCTGCAAGTTAATAGCTCCTGCTCTTGTGTGGCTGAGAGTGGGATATGCAAACATTTGGTTGCTTTGCTTTTCCAGACAGCCCATTACTCTGAAATGTGTAATGTGTGTTGTCACATGAACAATTGTTTGGAATGGATCAATTATGTGTTAAGTTCCATGAAACAGATGGGTAATTTATTTATTTATTTATTTAATACGTATAAGCCCAAATACCTCTCTATGCACAAGTTACAGAAGAAGCACCTGATTCAAGAAAACAACTGATTCAATGTCATTTTTTCTGTTCATCTGAATAAAATATTTTTTTCAAAATGTTACATTTTTTTGACAATTTTTATTTCAAATTACATACAGTGAATTATATTTTATATGTACAGTGAATAAAATAAAGGTCTTTATTCTGAATTAAAAAATTGCACTTAGAAAGTAGCTTAAGAAATGTTTATGTATATTAATGTTCATTTTTTTTACTTTAAAGGCAATGAAAATAAACTATTATTTGCCATAAAAGCTCCTTTCTTTAAATGTCTGCATCCGGTTGGCACTCGAGCCTCGATCAGTTTTCTAGACTGAAATTGTCAGCTACACTCTTGTTTTTTTCTGTTTCTGTAAAATTCTCACGTTTAATATCAACAACCCACCTCTTCTGCACGACTAAGTCTTTTGGAAACGTGTGGAAACTAAGGTAAGAGTTCAATTTTTGACGCTGTGCATTGCTGAACACAGCAGTGGTATCTACAAGTACTGTTCTCACATCTTTGAAATGACACTTTTAAACGTTTAGATGTCATATTTATGTAGCTGACATAAACATATATAAGTGGGCTATAATGGCATAAAACATTAAGACAACTGTCCAAAACATTACTCGTTTTTATCAGTAGTGCTCCTGTTGTAGCACTGTACTGTACGATCGGCGGAAGTAGGCTCGGGGTCTTAAATTTTACCGGAAATGCGTCACGCGCCGCCGTGCATAGAGCCCATTCTCTATGAGGAATATTGTGTAGGCAGAAGTAAGGACACACTGTCTGGAGTCAAACCACACATCATGTGAAAAAGGTCTATTTCCCCATTTGTTTGTTTATTTCAGTTTTTAAACTTGTTAATACCATCCCTTTAAAAACATATTACTGCATGTGGATAGAATGAGTGCCTGGGATTTCCCTAAAAGTTCAGTGATATCATTGTTCAAATGCGTGACAACCTGCCAAAAAAAACAACAAAAAAGGGAATGCACCTCTTTTATACATGAGGTAAATCATATTCTTTGGTTGTATGTGGAAACAACGATGATCCAAACCCCACGATCATGTAAATCATCCACATTTTCACTTCAGCAAATCAGTTTATCTAAATGCAGTTTGACTGAACATAATTGGTATACTATTCAAAAACCAGAGTATTAGTAGCAATAGTTCTATTCAGGGCTTGGCAATAACTTTTTTGATCGCCAGCCACTGTGGCTAGTAGATTTCCAACATTACTATCCACTTGAAATTTTTACTAGCTACACTTTTCTTGATGGGAAAATATATTTTGCCTAAATTGAACTTTAACATGCTAAAATTGCTTGATTTAGACGTTGTTATGTCCACATGCCCTCTCATTCATTTCACTACTTGTGTGTGTTGTGTATTGGCTTGCTCAGTGAGCAAATGGGTTGTGTCACATAGCAATCAGTCTTTATTTCACGACTTTTCAGGGCTCAAAATTAAGGATTTACCAAATTTATCTTTGACCACACCAAATAAGTATTTCTTAGCCACAATTTTTAAATGTGTCAAAAGAAGGAAAATATAGCTTTATATGTGCACTTTTAATGCAACAAAACTTTTCTTTAAAAAAACATTACATTAAAACAATAATTATTGTCATGTATCTAAAATATGCACAGTAATGTGTCCTGGCTAAAAGTCCCAGATCAGCAGTGAACTACACATAAAAGAGGAGTAATGTCCCATTAAAGCAATCTTATTGTAAAAAATATAATTAAACTATATAAACACAAATAACTGTAAGCAAAAGAAAGCAGGTGAAACATACGGTTAACACACGGTTAATATAGGTCTGTTAATCTGTTCAAAGAATAATTCAAATGAAAGCAGTGACCGCTGCTGCTTACAAAAGAATGTGGTTTTTTTTATTTTTTATTTTTTTATCTTGAGCTCTTAAAAGCAGCAGGACTGTGGATGCACGATCATCGCTCTTTGTCCAGTCTTTTTCAAAGGGAACCAATCACACCAGTAGCGCTTCCTCTAGGCACAGTTGCTTCACGCAAGTAAACGGGAGCGCGCATGCACTTTTTAACAATCCAACAGCGAGTGATCATCCTCTCGTTTGGTTTTTACCTTCTTTTTTGCTGTTTTGCTCGTGCGAACATAGTTATTTTTGTCAGTCCTGCTGCTTCTCGATTTTAAGATCACATTTGCACGGATATTGTGCGGATATTGTGCCATGCATATTGTCAAACTCTGCTCTTAAGAAAACTACAATTTAAAAATTATTTCCAACCAGCCAAAGTGGCTAATGGAGGTGTCTAACCCGCCATAGCTAAAATCTATCATTACTATCATAATCTAATCATTTGGCAGATAGGCGGGTGTTAATGTAAAGCCCTGGTTCTATTTATTTTAAAAATAACCTACAATGTATCCAGCATCACTCACTTACTTTCCTCAGACTTCTTCCTTTATTTGTAAGGGGTTGCCTTAGCAGAATTAACTTCTGATAATAAACTAAGTATTCCATTATTACTGCTATAAAAGGAACCGTGTGAAATTAAAAATAAATTTACACTAAATGTTCATCAAATCTTTTTTTCATTTGGCTTAAAAATGTTAATTGCATTTGGTCAAAAAAAAGGTAGAAGAAAAATTCCAAACCTCAGTGTGTTGAGTTGACAGTTTGCACTTTTCAGTCCAGCACAGATCAGCTTCACTCCTGAATCCTGCAGGTCATTGCGACTCAGGTCCAGCTCTCTCAGGCGGCAGTTTGATGAAAGTAGAGACACAGCCACAGTTTCACAGGACTGTTTAGTGAGATTACAGCCTGACAATCTAAACAGGATAATAGAAATAATTATTTACAAGCTCACCCTATAGATGTACAATGACATTTGAGAGAACTATGTGCATTGTTTCATGTTTCGGATAAGAAGATAATGTGTAATGCTGTGTTCACACCAGATGCGGAACGCGCGGATAAATCGCGCTATTCGCGCGTAAATTGCCGCGTGAACATTTGAGTTTACTCGCTTCATTCGCACGCCAAACCCGCTTCATTCGGGCGTGAAACCCGCTTCATTTGCGTGTCAATTCGTCATTCGCTCCGCGCAATTCGCGCGTATCGCGCCAAAGGATGTCTATTCGCGTGTTTGCATTGACTTAACATGTAAATCACTCGTGCTTGACGCGCGTGCCGCATCTGGTGTGAACGCAGCATAACTGCAATGTACTCATTACCATTACATAGCCTAACATGAGCAGTGTTTATGAGCTGAGCGAAAAGAATCAACCACTGAATCAACACTGAGGATTAGATGCAATTTAAATAAATAAACTAAAACCCAAATCTACATGTCAGGGCCATAAATATTCTTTCATCATTCATGTGTACTTAGACCTAAGCTTCCTAATTATGTTGACAGCAAGACACATGGTCCACAAGACCTCTCACGAATTACCTTCCAAAGGACTACACCTTCTCTAAAATCTTATAACTCTTACCAAACAAAAAAATTAGCAAACATGGAAACACCATTGAAACTGAACGGTTTAGTGCTTCCATTTCTACATTTCTGAAGTTAAACAAATTCTTGTAAAATACTTTTCATCACATTATAAATTCACCATTAAATATTTATTGTTAAAGCAGAAAATTTGAAGTATGTGTGACAAAAGACAACATAATTTAACTTACAGGAATGAGAAAAAGATAATCACACCCTGAACCAAGAACAATACCTAAATGGTCAGAGCTGCACTGAGCATCGAGCAATAATAAACTGAGTTTAAAACCAAACACACAAACTCAAATAGACTCTTCCAGGTTAAAGTGGTTCTAGATCCGAAAACATCCAACAATCCTATCTCTTTCCACTTTTAATTCCTCCATTTAGAATATTTCTGTCAACAGTTCCATGTTAGTTAAGTGAACCTGTGAAACCTAAAATCTTTGCCTGTCTCAAACTTGAAATTTTTGGCTCAATTGACAAACAGACCACCAGACATAACACATGCCATAGAGGGAATGCACGCAATAAGCATCAAACTCAAGTAATGTCTCCAAATTCTTGCTGAACAGGTGCAAATAAAAAATCTGAAATTAGTTAACCTGGTCTAAGACATAACAGCATGTCTAATTAATTAATGTTGGTTCACTTTGTTAGGTATTGCAAATTAGGGATTTTCATAATTTCACTCTTTTAAATTCTTCCTTACCAAGTAAATTTCTTTGTTAGAATATTGAATAAAGTTTCATTTGTAGTTAAAGAAAAATGTCATTAGTATAATTATCAATGTGCTGTTTTAATATATTGCTACTCTCCCTAAATATTAAATGTTTTCTCTTTATCTCTGATATTAATAGTTGCTGCAAAGTCAACAATTCAATCAACAACTGGAAATTTGATTTGTTCGATTATAAAGTGTCAATCCTATGATTCCTTTAAAATTTCCTCAAAAACCTATTCAATTACGCTCAATCAACATTTATGAATTAGGGCAACAAATATGAAAGATAGAAGAAAAAAAGTCAAACTTCAGAACGTTGAGTTGACAGTTTGGGCTCTTCAGTCCAGCACAGATCAGCTTCACTCCTGAATCCTGCAGCTCATTGCGACTCAGATTCACTTCTCTCAAGAGGTTGTTTGATGATTGTAGAGCTGAAGCTACAGTTTCACAGTGTTGATCTGCAAGATTACATTCTGACAATCTAAAAAAAAAGATAGAACTTTGGTTAAAGGCATGTTGATAAATTGGTGTTCATTATAGTTATTAAAACTATAGTGGTAATTAGACTTGCATTTCCATTGCCAAAGGTACCCGTTTGGTAAGCATATTGTGACAGTTGTTATCTGACAAGCTAAGCAGTCGAAGATATTTTCATACATGTACAAAGTTGTATAGGTTGTTTATAGATAGCATGTGAAAAGCCTCTCACAACAAATGATAGTTTTTTTATAGTGGGTACAGAAAGTTTTCAGACCCTCTTTAATTTCTCACTCTTTGTTATATTGCAGCCATTTGCTAAAATAATTTAAGTTCAATGATTTTCATCATTAATGTACACACAGCACCCCATATTGACAAAAAAACACAAATGTTGACATACAAAAAAGCATTTATTAAAAAAAGAAAAACTGAAAAATCACATGGTCCTTAGTATTCAGACTCTTTGCTGTGACACTTATGTATTTAACTCAGGTGCTGTCCATTTCTTCTGATCATCCTTGAGATGGTTCTACACCAGGGGTCACCAATCTCGGTCCTGGAGGGCTGGTGTCCCTGCAAGGTTTTGCTCCAACTTGCCTCAACACACCTGCCTGGATGTTACATGTATGCATAGTAAGACCTTGATTAGCTTGTTCAGGTGTGTTTGATTAGGGTTGGAGCTAAGATCCGCAGGACACCGGCCTTCCAGAAACAAGTTTGGTGACCCCTGTTCTACGCCTTCATTTGAGTCCAGCTGTGTTTGATTATACTGGCTGGACTTGATTAGGAAAGCCACACACCTGTCTATATAAGACCTTACAACTCACAATGCATGTGAGAGCAAATGAGAGTCATAAGGTCAGAGAAACTGCCTGAAGAGCTCAGGAGACAGACATGTGTCAAGGCAAAGATCTGGCCAAGGTTACAAAAAACGTTCTGCTGTGCTTAAGGGTTCTAAGAGCACAGTGGCCTCCATAATGCTTAAATGGAAGATGTTTGGGATGACCAGAACCCTTCCTAGAGCTGGCCGTCCGGCCAAACTGAGTTATCGGGAAAGAAGAGCCTTGGTGAGAGAGGTAAACAACAACCCAAAAGATCACTGTGGCTGAGCTCCAGAGATGCAATCGGGAGATGGAAGAAAGTTGTAATAAGTCAACCATCACTTTACCCCTCCACCAGTCGGAGCTTATATGTATATATATAGCACTGCACTACATGTGTTCAAAAGAATCTAAAACGCTAAATAGGATGAATTTATGTCGCATTTTCTAAAATAATACATTCTGTATCTAGCTTTTCACTTGTACGGTGGCTCTGAACTGTCAAAACACCTCTAAAAAAGGCTTTTCGGACATGACATATTTGTACACATGTACATTACTGTAACACGCTTTATTCAATACCATTTGAGCAGTCCTTAGCTTTTTCATTTTCATCTTATTTAAAATATATTTAACCTGCTTGTTGAATAAATCCCATTTTGTTATTTAACCTATTATTTTTATGCAACAGTCAAGTTACATGTTAATTTGCTATGAAGAAAATGAATTTTTTAATGCTGATTTGTGTGAAATTGGGAATAAAAGTCTATATAATCACCTTGCAGTTTTGAAATTATAGCTTTTTTGCTTTGAGTATAGACTATTCAGCTATAACATTTTGAAATATTAATAATTATCGGCCTATACTAATCGGCTATCGGCCCTTAAGTCTGAAGAATTATCGGTATTAAAAAATCCATATCTATGCATCCCTAAAGCTAATAAACATTAAGTAATCGATTAAAGATTATTGCACACTGAATCTGAAATTTTTATCCGTAATCTTCGCATTTAAAAAAAAAATTCTCATTTTTCTCATGCAAAAAAGCATTTTGAGAGCTTTGACAGTTCAGAGCCACCGTACAATCAGTATGAATGCCGTCACTTGAGCCTTCAGCACAGATAACTTTGACAAACACAGTGAATAAGAAAGACAGTTGAGAACGTTCGAGGTTACAGAAGTAACCCTTCGTTCCCCGAGGAGGGGAACGGAAGTGCCATGAATGGGAGGATTCGGATCAGAAGCCGCTTGTCTGGAGAGTATTGAACGGGCCAATGAATGAAATAAATTGGCAGCGTAAGCTTGCGCAGGTGTGCGGCATCTGCAATTATCTCAGCATATAAGCACACCTGAAGCCAGCAGACGCCATCCTTTTAAGCTGAAGAGACTTTCAAACAGCTAAGGGACAGTCATTATGGCGACGGAGTATGGCACTTCCGTTCCCCTCCTCGGGGAACGAAGGGTTACTTCTGTAACCTCGAACATTCCCCTTCGGTTGGGGAACTTCAGTGCCATGAATGGGAGAAGTATGGAAAGCGCCATAATGACTGCACCTTACCAACACCCCCGATGAGGAGATAGTCAAGCAAGCGTGACGCACCCACATCATGGGGGGCGCGGTCCTCCAACGTGTCCCTGGCCCTAATTTATCCTACTTCAACAGAAGTTTTACGGATTTAGATATATTTTTTGGGAAGTCGTGAGCATCTAGATAATTCTAGGAATACGACAGTACGTTGGGAAGCGTGCAATCCCGATAGGGAGGACGCTGCGGAGGCCATCCGTTACCCAAGGGGGGGATAGATGGCAGAATTTACATATGGACTAGCCCTAAAAAGGGGGAGTACGCATAGCAAAAGAGTGGTTAGCGGAGAGGGAAGACACGGGTCCGCCCAGGGGGGGGACTTAACCGTGGCGGAATAAGCATATGGGATCGCCTAGTGGGGATCACGCATAGCAGGCACCTATACCCAAAACGCGGGCTGACCAGCGGGCAGACCTACAACGTCGTGGGCCAGCAAGTGACTCCTCCGCTGAGTCAGTGCTGGGGGCCATGGAGGAATCTGCAGGGCTCACCTGACGGGGAACTTTACTGACAGATAAAAAGGCGCACGTACCTCCGTGTTAAGGAGAATGGCGCAGCAAGCGTGTTTCAACACCCTACCGAGTTGTCTCCTCAATCACCAAAGGGTTACCTAATACCCTTGAGGAAACCGGCTCCACTCGCAGATTGTAAAACCTTGCAAATGTGTTGGGTGTCGCCCAGCCCGCAGCTCTACAGATGTCTGTTAGAGAGGCGCCGCGTGCACGCGCCCAAGAGGATGCAACGCTCCGAGTGGAGTGTGCACGTACTCCCGGGGGACACGGCTGACCTCGACTCGAATAAGCGAGTGAAATGGCATCCACAATCCAGTGGGATAATCTTTGTTTCGATACGGCACTTCCCTGCTGCCGACCGCCATAACAGACAAAGAGCTGCTCAGATGATATAAAATTCTGAGTACGGTCCACATAAATGCGCAGAGCGCGAACTGGACAAAGTAAAGAAAGGGCTGGGTCTGCCTCCTCCGGGGGCAGCGCTTGCAGGTTCACTACCTGATCTCTAAAGGGGGTGGTAGGAACCTTGGGCACATAACCGGGGCGGGGTCTCAGGATGACGTGAGAGTAATCCGGCCTGAATTCCAGGCACGAGTCACTGACCGAAAATGCCTCCAGGTCCCCGACCCTCTTGATGGAGGCCAACGCAACCAGCAGAGCTGTCTTCAGGGACAGAAATCTTAGAGATACTGATTCAAGTGGCTCAAAGGGATCGGATCGCAGACTCGTGAGAACGAGGGCGAGATCCCAAGAGGGCATGAGAGGGGGGCGAGATGGATTAATTCGCCTAGCACCCCAAAGGAACTGGATGACCAGGTTATGCTTTCCCACGGTGCCGCCAGCTACCGCGCTATGATAAGCGGAGATGGCGGCCACGTAAACCTTGAGAGTGGAGGGCGACAGCCTGCTGTCCAACTTCTCTTGAAGGAAAGAGAGCACAACACTAATCTGGCAATTTCGGGGGTCTTCTCTGCGAGAGACGCACCATTCAGTGAATAGACTCCACTTCAGGGCGTAGGCGCGCCTCGTGGAGGGGGCTCTAGCCTGAGTGATGGTATTAACCACCGCAGTCGGTAGGTTACCTAAGTCTTCCTCGCGTCTAGGGACCACACGTGGAGGTTCCAAAGATCGGGGCGAGGGTGCCAGATGGTGCCCTGTCCCTGAGAGAGTAGGTCCTCTCTCAAAGGGATCCGCCAGGGGAGGGCCGTCGCGAGGAGTGAGAGCTCTGATATCCAGGTCCGGTTGGGCCAAAGGGGCGCAACTAGCAGAACCTGTTCCTCGTCCTCCCTGACCTTGCACAGAAACTGCGCGAGCAGGCTCACTGGGGGAAACGCATACTTGCGCATGCCCCGAGGCCAGCTGTGGGCCAGTGCATCCGTGCCGAGAGAGCCCTCGGTCAGGGAAAAAAACAACTGGCAGTGAGCGTTCTCGGGGGAAGCAAACAGATCGATCTGGGCCTCCCCGAATCGCGCCCATATCAGCTGAACAGACTCGAGGTGGAGTCTCCATTCTCCAGGGCATAACAGCTGTCGTGAGAGCGCATCGGCTGCACGATTGAGCGTGCCTGGGACGTGAATGGCGCGCAGCGATTTCAGCCGCGGGTGACTCCAGAGGAGCAGACGGCAGGCGAGCTGAGACATGCGGCGAGAGCGCATACCCCCCATGCGGTTGATATACGCCGCCGCCATACTGTCCGTCCTGACCAGCATGTGTTGCCGCTCCAGCACCGGTAAAAAGCGGTGGAGAGCGAGGAACACTGCCAACAGCTCTAGGCGACTGATATGCCAATGCAGCTGGGCACCCTTCCAGAGGCCCGCAGCCGCATGCCCGCGACACACGGCCCCCCAACGCGTGTTGGAAGCGTCTGTTGAAACAACAACATGGCTGGGCGCCTGTCCTAGAGGCACACCGGCCTGTAGGAACGAGGGGTCGTTCCAAGGGCTGAGGGCGCGGCGACACCGAGACCCGGTGTGTGCCCACGTGCCATGCGCGTCTGGGGACCCGATCGTGAAGCCAGTGCTGAAGTGGTCTCATATGGAGCAACCCGAGCGGCGGGACGGCAGCTGCGGATGCCATATGCCC